TACCTAATTCGAGATTTGGAAAGAGAGGAGTAGCATTTGGTTATTTAGAGTCGAGAATCGAGTATTTATTGAGATAACTACCCTATGTGCTAGGCGGTGGCTAGATCGAGATTCGAGTGTGAGGATGCTTGCTTGCTGTCGAGGTGAGTCTTCTCACTATACTTTACCTAGAGTAGTATCTATGTGTGACCAGAGGGTCATATGTGTTTATTTGAGTATTGTGATATTAATTCATTATGTTTGTGTGATTTATGCTATGTGTTATTCAGAGTTACAGAGTTAGGATCAGAAGGTCCATCAGAGTTGTGGGATTGGAGGGTCCCACTGAGACTCATTGACTGGAGGGTCTTACAGAGTTATAGCCTTAAGTGGATAATGCGTTGTATGCAGTATTTTGGGGAACTCACTAAGCTTCGTGCTTACCGTGTTATGTGTTATGTGTTTAAGGTTTTCTCAGGATCGCGGGAAGGCACCGACTTGATTGTACGCACATCGGAGACAGAGTTAGATTTGAGAGGATCCTGGAGTTTTGATATATATACATTTGTTTTTTTGAATATGAGATTTAATGATTTGAAATTGTGATATTTTGTGATTTTATAATTGTGATAAATGTGTTTTTAAATTGAAAATTTTGGTTTGAAAATTTACGGTGTTACACATCCCAATGCCCATGTGAGTTGTTTTTTTACTATTTTACCCTTGAATAAATAATGGCCGTTTAACACATTGGTTTGTATGTATGTCAAACATGTGAGAGAAGCAATTGCTATTTCCCATTCTATGTCGTGCTCAAATCATTCATTAATCAGGTTATATTTATATTTGTTTTCCTTTGTATCTATTCTGCCATTATCGTTAGGTAAAACGAGGTGCTGAGATGTCAAGAAAGCTTCGGTTATTTAAAGATTAGATACACAAGGGCGGTTTATTATCTTATGCTCGTCCTAGGTTGCAAAGAGGAAATAAGGAAATGGTTTCTTTATATGGTACATTTATTGTATAAAATATATATTTTGTATAAAACACAAAGCAGATTAGATGAATGAATGTTGGTACATTTGTGTTATGAGATATTAATTGTCATTTAATTTGAAAATTAATAAATCTAAAAAAAATAAAATATATTTTTTTAAACATTTAAAATTATGACATGCAACGCGTGTCGTAAATTCACATCATAAGGTTACGACACGCAAATTGCTTGCCGTCTTCCTTTATTATACACGTTGCGTGTCATCTATGTGCGTCGTAAGGTTACGACACGCAAATGCGTGTTGTCTTTCTTTATGATAGGGTCTTCCTTGATACACATTTATGTGTCGTCCGTGTGTTTTATGACACGCAATGTGTGTCATTAAAGGGTATATTTTTAGTAGTCATAAGAGGAATGATGATTGAAAAAAAGAAAAAGAATGGGAAAATTAAACCCTAATGTAATATATTGTGCAACTGAACTAAACCTATCCTGATATATGACTAAAGAAAATAAAGTCAAGAGATTTACCTGAATCGGAAGTTAATGAAGACTTCTTTAAGATTTTAAAAATGTGGAGGTTGCTGGAATCAAAAGCTACAATGATGAGTGGTTTTGTCATCTATTTGAATGGAGAGCATGCGATGTGACAACTCGAAGTTTTTCCATCGCCGCAACCCATTCCGACCGTCAAATTAAGCAAATTATTCCGACTTTGTGTTTTTGGATTAGGTCAATTAATTTGAGACTTTTATTTGACCTTGTAAGTATCCAAACATGTTGAAAACATGTGAAAATGTCCCAAACTAGTAATTAGAAAAATTTTAGTTTCGACCATATCGGGTGAGGACAACTTAATCGGGTGCGACCAAAAGCCTTGGTTAACATCAGTTTCGAGTAGAATTCCACCGTGTCCCAAATCCAAACCATATTTAAAGTGAATTAAGACTCATTTGAAGCCTTTTCACTCTCTCTCTAACCTCTCTCCTCAATCCAAGAATTTGATCCAAAAATCACTCATTTCAAGCTTCAAAACACCAAGGTAACCATCCTAGCTTCTTGTACAACATACTTAGCCTTCAATTTAGAGTTCAATTCATGATTTAGGACCTCAACACATGTGTTTACGGCCCTAGAACACTCTTGGTCCGTGAACATATATAAATGGTGTTTTGAGCCTCAAAACCCTTCCAAATCACCATTGGAGCTTAGATATGGCTTAAGGACTTATTGGATTGGACTTAGGACACCTTAAACTCAACATTTGGGGAGTAAACATGAGTTTACTGCCCAAGAACATGCTTGGGCCATAAACACCCTTTCATGGGTAGTAAACTCCTTTTTGGGTGTTAAAATGCAACTTACACACCTCATAAGCCCTGGAATAAAGTCTAGAAGCAACCACAAACAAGTTAGGGACCATAATCTTGATGAAAACAACTCCATAATGAGTTCACGGCCGTAAACCCCCCAAGAATGGGTTCCTGGGCCGTAAACTCCTATAAATGGGTTGTATGATGCCCTAAACTCACCTATTGGCTTGTAAAATTGAGTAGAATCAATTGTGATTAACCTATGACCCTCAAATCACATTAAGTCATGGCCTATAAGAGTTTACGGCCGTAAAAACTTAGTTTACTATCGTAAACTCATCAATTGGTCCACATGGTTGATTTAATTCCTTGATAATGCCCTAGAACCAAACCTAGCATCACCCCTCAATTGATTTAAGACCAATTAGCACATAAGAACACCCCACACACTTGAAGAGTAAACTCCATATCCAAGTCATTCATGTCCATAAACGTCACCCGGGTCACTCCAAACACTTAATTTGAAGTGTTTTCGCGTCTTGGAGTATTTAATCGTATCCGATTAGTGTTTTAAAGTCTAATTAGATACATTTGTGTATCATTCAACATTACATAGGAACCTCGCACGTTTCCAAGCCTTGATCCAACGTTTAGCATCCCAGTCGACACATTTCTCGTCCGGTGAGTTCATACCCCTACCCTTTTTCAATGTTTTTCACTGTTTTCAGGGGGGAATACAAGTAAAGTACAAGTAATACTTGTAATCAAAACTTATTTTATATGTGTTGTGTTTCATATTACATATGTTTTTAACATTGATAATCATAACAGATAACCGTTTGAACTTGCAGATCACATTATCATAGTATTTGTGAAAAACGTTATAAATTGTTGTACTTTATATTTTCACAAATGGTTTTCCATATTATAATAGTTAAAAACATAATCTTTGAACTTTGAACAAGAAAATTAGTTTATTGTTTTGTCCTCGGTAACACTCCACAGAGATACGCGAGTGGAGGATCGTCTTTGTAGGTAGAACTTAAATAGGATATTCCACATTATTACTTGTAGATTTGTTATTCCTATAAATTGGAGACACGTCCTCGAAGAACACTCCACAGAGATACGCGAGTTGAGGACCGCCCCTGTAACCAGAATCTCTTAGATAGGGAGCGTGACTTGAGTGTATAGATCTATACGGGATTGACTATCCCGCACCTGGCTGCTAGCTACAGCCGAACCGAAAGGTTCAAGGGTGACAAAAGTCATAAAAGATATTGGCCTCGTCTCGAGTGATATCTAGTCTGTAGTATGGTTATAGAACTCACAATTTGGATAACAGGGATTTACTTTTTAGTAATAATGGATATAGTAAATTAATAACCATAAGAATTAGTTTACTATGATAATCAAGTTTTCAGTATACATCTTTTACATTACATTTTTGGGTCGGTAAACAAACACACACTTCACAAGGTTAATCGGGTTTTCAATACACATCTTTCACATTAGGAAAATATAGGATTTTCCTAGGGTAATCACAATTCGTAACCAGAAAAGTGTAACATAACATAACAACTAAACTTTACTTTTAAGAAAATATGGGATTTTCTTGGGTCGTAACATTTTCAGAAACCAAAAGGAATCTTGTACATTTTCATAAAAACAAACCGCTTATGAACTCACCAGCTTTATGCTGATTTTTAAAATGCTTGTATTCTGAGGTTCTCCTTAGACAGGTACCCCGCATCCTTTTGCAAAAGATGGAGCGTATGGAAGTCATGTCTTTCTTTTGTTTAAACTCATGTATCTATGAAACTTGTATTACTTTACTTTTCAACTGATGTAATGAAATCTATGTAATGTAATGTTTTGTGTTTTACTTCGCTTACTATGTACATTGGTTGTGATATTCACATGAAGTCACCTCCGCCCTGGGATGTTTCCGCCTTCGGTTTCGGGGTGTGACAGATGATTAGGTTAGTAGAGCGAAGGGAACTTACTCCAGAGTGATAAAGTGGATTTAGGAGGGAAGGAATTAAGGAAACTTACACCAACTTCATGAAACTTGAATTGGGTTGCACCAATTTTAGCGATTGATGGTAGAAAAAACAAAAAGTGTGTACCCAAAATATTGTTTCCATCAACGTTCTCTCGCTAAACACAAACCACATGGAAAAATCGACAGTTTGTTTATCCCTCGTTGAACCCTCGCTAAATGCCTTCATTTTTTACTGATTAACGAGGAATCAGGGTGCATCGATAAATACTTGCAAGGTCCGCAACTGATCTCTCGCTAAATCCTGAGTAATATGCTATATGTTGAATAAATAAAGTAATTGTTTAGACAATCATAGATCTGTCGTAATCCCTCGGTATAAGCCTAAAATTTGCTAGCGAATAAATCCATCGCTAAATCCACAATTGAAACTTAGGTTTCTAGTAGTAGGTAAGATATTTTTCGTTTTGTGCACATTAAGTCATTGATTTTTTTTGCGCATTTTTCCATTAAACTTTTTTTTTTGTCTATATCTTGCCTTTATGACCGATTTGTGTGGGTTTAGCTGGTTTCCGGTGTTCTTTGCATCGCTGGCTTGGCTTTTTTCATCTTGTCCGTCGAGCTTCTGACCAACAATGTTTTTTCTAACAATGACTCATTTTCCGATAACTCCGTTTTTCTAGCGATTGCTTCTTGGTATAGGTAAAAAATGGTTTCTTGGTGGTGTAACAGTAGTGTTGGAAGGTCAGATGATGTGATAAGAGTTGTGCTGCCGGTTATTGCTGCAGATTGCGATGGTAGAAGGAGGGTGAAACAAGACTTGATGGTGGCAGAAAAATGGGTGGTCGGAGGTGATGATGGTTCCGGTAATCTCGGTGAAACCGGTGGTTGTTTAGTGGCTGCTGCAAAGGTTCTTCGCGTGTATATACACTACTAGAAAACAAAGGCTTTTGCTATAGGAAAATAGCTATGGAATATTTCCATAGGAAATAACCTACACAATACCTACGGAATAACTATGGAATGGAAAACCCTAATTTAGTAACGGAATCGCTACAAAATAGCTACGGAATAGTTATAGACAAAAATCGGTAGGTATTCCGTTAGTAATTAGCTACAAAATTGCTACGGAATAGCGATGAAACTAAATCTGTAGATATTCCATAGGTAATTCGCTACAGATTAGCTACGGACTACCGACAGAAGAGAATGACTACATAATAGCTACAGAATAAATTTATATTATTATTATATTATTATTATTATTATTATTATTATTATTATTATTATTATTATTATTATTTGAGTCTTACAACTATTTTTTTATCGTTTTGTTTTTACATATATAAAACGTAAACAATTAAAAATAATAATAATTAGTATATCATGTATTTGTTTAATGATGTTAATTGTGCCTTAAGAACAAACATAGATAACTTTTTGTTTATTATATATATAGTAATGGGTTCTAATTAATGAAGTTGTAAAAAAAATGAAACAACAAAAATAACAAAATTTGACCCTTGAAAAATAGAAAAATAAAAAAATAAAAAAAGACTGTAGGTAATCTGTAGGTAATACCTACGGATTACCTACCAATTACCTTTATCTGTAGGTAATCCGTAGTATTTTCCTATAGATTACCTACGGATTTTTTTATTTTTCTATTTTTCAAGGGTTAAATATCATTTTTTTTTTCGTCTTACTGTTTTTCACAACTTAATTATACTTTGATTGCTTTGTTTTGATTGAGTTATACATAACATAAACTTACATACAAACATATGCATCATTAGAACCCATTACTCATTTAGAAGGTTTTTTTTTAATCAAAGTTATTTTCTAAACACAAATACAAATAAGTACACACATTTACATACACACCATATGTATGTATTATGTTTAGTATATCATGAACTTGTTTAAAGATGTTAATTATGGCTTAATGACAAACATAGATAGTTTTTTGTTTATTATGTATATATAGTAATGGGCTCAAATGATGCATACATTTGTTTGTAAGTTTATGTTATCTATAAATTGGTTAAAACAAAGCAATCAAAGTATAATTAACTAGTGAAAAAAATGAAATGAAAAAAATGACATTTGACCCTTGAAAAAAAAAATCGTAGGTAATCCGTTGGAAAAATACCTACGGATTACCTACACATTACCTTTATCTGTAGGCAATCCGTAGGTATTTTCCTACAGATTACCTACGGTCTTTTTTATTTTTCTATTTTTCAAGGGTCAAATGTCGTTTTTTTCGTTTAATTTTTTTCACAACTTAATTATTGTGTCACACCCCGAAAACCAAGGCGGAAACATTTCCGGGGTTGACTCCACGTTGAGTATCAAATCCAATGCACATAGTAAAGCAGTAATCACAAAACATTACATTACATAATATTGTTTACATCTGTTTGCAAGTAAAGTTGTACAAGTATTTTACATATGTAATATGAACAAAAGTAAAGACGAGTCTTCTGTACGCTCCGTCTTCTCCAAAAGGATCGCTAGGTACCTGTCTAATGTTGACCTGAGAATACAAGCAGTTTGAAAATCAGCATAAAGCTGGTGAGTTCATAAGATGTTTGTTTTGTGAAAATGTACGAGTTTCCTTTGGTTTACCGAAAAGTTGTTATCCAAGAAAATCCCATATTTTCTTAAAAGTAATGTTTGATTAATTGTTAGGTTACACGGTTCTGGTTATGTTTAGCTATGATCCTAGAAAAGTCTCATACTTTCTTGATTGTATGTTACCAATTGTGAAAGATATAAAGTTATCTGGTTAATTACACTTTTCTAGTTATGTAACATTCCACAGGAAAGTCCCATACTTTCCTAAAAGTAAGTTTAGTTATTGAATTTTGATGTAATGATTGATTTCCATTCGTACCTATTGTATTAACTAGGTATTCTGATATCCTAATGGTGTTACACTAGAGTGTACCTAGATACGTATCTTCGTATTCGTATTCCTATTCTTAATCATATTCATATACTTATTCGTATTCGTATTCGTATTCGCAGTCGTATTCCTATCCATAATCCTACTCCTAACACTATTCGTATTCGTATTCGTATTTGCAGTCGTATTAGTTTCCCTAATCCTACTCCTATTACTATTCGTATTCATATTCGTATTCGTATTCGTATTCGTATTCGTATTCGCAGTCGTATTCGTTTCCCTAATCCTACTCCTATTACTATTCGTATTCGTATTCGTATTCGTATTCGTATTCGTATTCGTATTCGCATTCGTATTCGTATCCCTAATCCTACTCCTAATACTATTCATATTCGTATTCATATTCGTATTCGTATTCGCATGATTACTTTAGTATTCCTATTCGTTCTATTCCTAGTTATAGTTTCGTATTTGTTCTGTTTTCAATTGTACTTTCGTATTTGTTCTATTCCTAGTTATAGTTTCGTATTCGTATTCGTAGATTATAAAATATAATTTAGATTGTAGCATTTTGTCATGAAATTTGTGACTAGTCTGAAAGCTACTTCTTAATTCGAACTATTTGATAAACACAATTTTTAATATTAGAACATACAAAATGAAATCAATTGAACTGAAAACAATAAGTTGTAGTACAAGATTTCCTTGTACTTTTGCTTGTATTCCCCCTGAAAACAATGAAAAATAGTTGAAAAAGGGTAGGGGTATGAACTCACCGGATGAGAAATGTGACGATTTCGGATGCTAAACATTGGTTCGGGGCTTGCAAACGTACGAGATTCCTATGTATAATGAAAAGATACACATTTGTATCTAATTAGGACTTAGATTACTTAATTGTTAGGGACAAACACTTTTGGTCACGGAAACACCCCATTACAAGTGTTTGGAAGGACTCGGGTGACATCTACGGACGTGTAATGGCATTAGGGACTTGGAATTTGAGTTTACTCCCCAAGAGTAAACTCATACAAGAGTTTTCGGCCTATAACACCCATTCCCCATGAGTTTACGGCCGTAAACTCATGGTGGGGTGGTTTATGGTGCAAATTGGCTTGAAACACTTAGGGGAAAATTTATAGGGTTTGATTTAAGGCTTGGAATTAATTTAAAACACCAAATGACAACACTTAAGGGAGTTTACGGCCTTAGCATGGAGCTTACGACCGTAAACTCCTATGCACCCTTGAATAAGTGTTTTAATGCTTCCAAATCAATCACATGTGATTCCTAAAATTGTTCCAAGGCCTTTCATGAAGTTTTAAGGGACTTTTGACATCATTTTTGGAGTTTACGGCCCATGAGACCCCCTCATGGCCGTGAACTCCCTTAATGGGTGATTTATTATGTTTAAAGGTCTAAAACATGTTTGTATACACTTCTAGAATTTATTCTAAGGCTTTAGGTGTGTTAAAGTGGCATTTTAACACCTTTAGAGGAGTTTACTCCCCAAGAACATGGAGTTTACGGCCCAAGCATGTGCCTTGGCCATAAACTCCCATTTACCCCTCAAAATTGATGTTCAAAGTGTCCCAAGGCCAAAACCATAATTCTACAAGTCGTATCTAAGCTTTGTTGGTGTTTTAGAAGTGTTTAAGGGCATAAAAACCCTTTAAATATGGGTTTACGGCCTAAGCACCATTCGGGGGCCGTAAAATCATATACAAGGCTCTAAATCATGGATTAATGCATTCTAGGTCCATTCCATAAAGTTATCTAGCCATATCTAAGGTCCAATTGTGGTTTGGAAGGGTTTTGTTGCTCCAAAAACCCCATTTACTTGAGTTTACGGCCTAGGACTGTTCCAGGGCCGTAAACTCATGATAATGGTCCTAATCCATGGTTTAAACTCGAATTTGAAGGCTGGATAGGTTGCATAACAAGTTATGGAAGGTACCTCAAAGATTTGGAGCCTTAAATTGATGATTTGGACCCTTAAACTTGGATTTAGGAGAGAGAGAGAAAAAGCCTCAAATGATAGCTTGAATAAGTTTAAATAGGTCCTAAGTTTGGGACACGGTGGAATTCTACCTGGTACCGACGTTAAACGGGGCTTTTGGTCGCACCCGATTAAGTTGCCGTTACTCGATATGGTTGATTTTAGAAATGTTCCGATCGCTAATACTAGGCGTTAGAATGAGTTCTAAGGGTATTAGGACATTCATTAAGTCATAAAATAAAATCCACATTAATGACTTAATTTAATTGACGGAAATCGGAAACGAAATCAGAAACGGCGATTGGATGATCGAAATGAGTCGCGAAAAGGGGCACAAGCAATGAAACGAAATTTCAGGTTGTTACACTTTGATAGCTTTGTTTTGTCCAACTTATACATAATATAAACTTACATACAAACGTATGCACCATTAGAACCCAATACTCATTAAAAAAAATTATTATTTAAATCAATGTTATTTTCTAAACACAAATACAAATAAGTACACATATTTACATACACACCATATGTATGTATTATGTTTAGTATATCATGTATTTGTTTAATGATGTTAATTCTCTAAGAACAAACATAGATAGTTTTTTGTATATTATATATATAGTAATGAGTTCTAATGATGCATATAACTTGGTGAAAACAAAACAATCAAAGTATACTTAAGTTGTGAAAAAAATGAAACGAAAAAACGATATTTGACCTTTGAAAAATAGAAAAATTAAAAAATATGGTAGGTAATCTGTAGGTAATCCGTACCTTTATCTGTAGGTATTTCGTAGGTATTTTGCTACAGATTACCTACGGATTTTTTTTAAATTTTTTTATTTTTCAAGGGTCAAATGTTGTTTTTTTCGTTTTTTTTTTCACAACTTAATTATACTTTGACTGCTTTCTTTTGACCGATCTATACATAATATAAACTTACATACAAACATATGCATCATTAGAACCCATTACTCATTTAGAAGTTTTTTTTTTTTTTTTTTTTTTTTTTTTTTTTTTTTTGAATCAAAGTTATTTTCTAAACACGAATACAAATAAGTACCCACATTTACATACACACCATATGTATGGCTTAATGACAAACATAGATTGTTTTTTGTGTATTATGTATATATAATAATGGGTTATAACGATACACACGTTGTTTGTAAGTTTATGTTATGTATAAATTGGTTTAAACAAAGCAATCAAAGTATAATTAAGTTGTGAAAAAAAAATGAAACGAAAAAAACAACATTTGACCCTTGAACAATAGAAAAAAAAATCGTAGGTAATCCGTAGGAAAATACCTACGGATTTCCTACAGATTATCTTTATCTGTAGGCAATCCGTAGGTATTTTCTACAGATTGTTACCTACAGTCTTTTTTATTTTTCTATTTTTCAATGGTCAAATGTCGTTTTTATCGTTTTATTTTTTTCACATCTTAATTTTACTTTGATTGTTTTGTTTTTACAGAGTTATACATAACATAAACTTACATACAAACGTGTGCACCATTTGAACCTATTACTCATTTGTAATTTTTTTTTTGTCTTTTTAAATCAATGTTATTTCTAAACACAAATATAAATAAGTACAAACATTTACATACACACCGTATGTATGTATTATGTTTACTATATCATGTATTTGTTTAATGATGTTAATTGTAGCTTAAGAACAAACATAGATAACTTTTTGTTTATTATGTATATATAGTAATGGGTTCTAATGATGCATACGTTTGTTTGTAAGTTTATGTTATGTATAACTTGGTTAAAACAAAGCAATCAAAATATAATTAAGTTGTTAAAAAAACGAAACGAAAAAACGATATTTAACCTTTAAAAAATAGAAAAATTAAAAAATATGGTAGGTAATCTGTAGGTAATACCTACGGATTACCTACAGATTACATTTAGCCGTAGGCAATCCGTAGGTATTTACCTACAGACTACCTACGGTTTTTTTTTTATTTTTTATTTTTTATTTTTCATCGGTCAAATGTCGTTTTTTCGTTTAATTTTTTTCACAACTTAATTATAATTTGATAGCTTTGTTTTGTCCGACGCATACATAATATAAACTTACATACAAACGTAGGCACCATTAGAACCCATTACTCATTAAAAAAAATTATTTTTTTAAAATCAATGTTATTTTCTAAACACAAATACAAATAAGTACACATATTTACATATATACGGTATGTATGTATTATGTTTAGTATATCATGTATTTGTTTAATGATGTTAATTGTCGTTTAAGAACAAACATAGATAGTTTTTTGTTTATTATATATATAGTAATGAGTTGTAATGATGCATATAACTTGGTGAAAACAAAACAATCAAAGTATACTTAAATTGTGAAAAAAATGAAACGGAAAAACGATATTTGTCATTTGAAAAATAAAAAAATTAGAAAATATGGTAGGTAATCTGTAGGTAAATACCTACGGATTACCTGTAGATTACCTTTATCTGTAGGTATTCCGTAGATATTTACCTACAGATTTTTTACGGTCTTTTTTTATCTTTTTATTTTTCAACAGTTAAATGTCGTTTTTTCATTTTATTTTTTTCACAAGTTAATTACACTTTGATTGCTTGTTTTGACCGATTTATACATAACACAATTGACATCGTTTTGCAAAGCAAGATATCTTCCAAAATTATTGAGAAACAAATTTTGCTTATAAAATCTAGATTCAATAGTTTTGTTAAAATCTATTTTGGAAATTATGTGGAACCTATTATTTGCCAAAAAAGTAGTTCCATAAACATTTTACATTTTGCAAAATCTGTTTTGATAAAATATATGATCATTATGTTAGGTATATATAAAAGACTGACAAAATACGTTATAACTCAAGAAAAAGTATATTATTTTAATGGTTAAAATGAGTTTTAAGTATATTATTTAAAATTTAAAATTATTATTTTAAAAACATCAAAAATGTTAAATAATAAGATAGTAATAATTTATTTATAAAACTTAGTCCTTATATTTTTAATTAGCTTAATATTTGATTATCTACAAATTTCCTACTGTTTGGGTTACCTACCCATTTCTAACGAGCCAAAATTGATAAAACCCATTGTAACTTCATTAGGTCAAAATTTTCTAATGTCCCGCCTGATCTAATTTCCCTCCCATCCTGTGGAAAATATGAGATTGAGAAATCCCTTCCTTCATCCCACTTTCCAAATGGTAGACGAAATCGGCCATGCCGGAATTGTTGTCGCTGCCGGAGTCGACCGCCGCCAACGACATCGTCCTATTCCCGTTACTCTTCTCCGCCATCTCGCCCTACTCCCGATTTCTCTGATCTCCCTCCACCCTATTTGGATTCCACTGTGGTTTCCAGAATCGATCAACGCCATCCCCACTGCTTTCGACTCCTCTTCACCATATCTCATGTCGCTCCTTTGCCTTTTTCTACTCTCTCATCGTACATCGCCATCATCGATTCAGATTCCACCACCGGTCTATTTCAACGCCACTGCTCCACCAAATCTAAACCTCATTGGAAACCCTTATCGGTTCACCTCATCACCGCCGCCACCGATTTAGGAAGACGAAGCTCGCTGGAAACCCTCACCATCGTTGTCAACCGTGCGGGTTACACGGTCATCCACCATCATCATCCAGGATCCGTATCCGATCACCCACCGCTGTCAGCCACCATTGTTAATCTACCGTCGTCAATCAGCCGCCATCCTCAGCTTTGCTTTTGTAAGGTAAACTAATAGAAGATAGCCTAAGTTAGTTTGAACGATTGAGAAAGTTTGAAATTATAGATATGCATTCAAATCCAATCTAATGACCTTGATTGTCAAACCCCTAACTTTTGTTATAATTTTCAAATGGAGTTGTTTTATATGTATGTTTATAACTTCTGTTATAATCTATTTCCATCTGTGCCTTGTAAGTCGTGAAGTGCAACAAGGTTGAATAGATTTGGTTTTAACAATTATTAGAAACATGCTTCATGTGGAATTACACGTATTTTGATCATAATCATTTTAAATAAATTATTTTTACTTATTTATATTAAATAACTTATCTGATATTTCATATATAATTAGAATTTTTGTTTTCAATCTTCTTAGGACCAATATTAAATAATTAGCTAACAAACTTGGCTTTTCATGTTAAAGAAGCTTACTAATGCTATATGCAGGAAAGCATAATGCTTTTGGAAGTTGGAACTTGGAAGATATAGTAAGCTTGCTGAAGTTTAAGAGTCGGTGTTTGGAAATTGTATGTAGTTCATGGGACACATTCTTGCTTCTTGTTGGCTTGTTGCTTTTAGGTAGTATACAGTCAACGATTTTTACGTAAATAATGATCCAATTTTATTAATAAAGTATTTTTGGATTTTAAAAGCAAAGTACATTGCTATTATGGATAGTATGCTCTTTTAATGAAATAAAAGTAAAGTACATTGCTATCATGTTTTAAAGTTGAATTACATTTACTAACTCGATGTGTTTTTCTTGCCATTTTTAGGTAAATGAGTTGTGACAACAAGTGTCAAACAGGCAACATGCCATGGAATAAATGTAAAGTCAAGTGTATTTGCAAATGGAACAAAAGTGAAATGAAATGGAATTGCAAATGCAACTACAATTGGCGGGCTTTTATGAGAAAATTCAACCCGTCCGGTAGTCCACTAAGTAATTCTTAGTTATTGTTTTAAAACACTTAATGAATGTTATGTTATTGATTAGTTCTTAGTTTTTTTCATGACATTGTAATGGTATTTTGAGTATTTGAATGTATGAATGTTATGTTGTTTACCATTTTAATGTTAATGAATATAATAGTATTTTGACTATTATTATAATTATTTTTGTGGTTATTCTTGGGTTACTTTTGAGCATAAAATTTGGATATTTTTTAAATTATAAATTTAATATAGCAACAGATTTGTGACATAATTGTATTCAATAAAAGCTGTCAAAAAAAAATTGTAGATATTCTGTAGGAAATAGAGTCCAATACAGTCTGTAGGTATTCTCTAGGAAAAAGGAGGCAGTGGGTATTCTGTAGGAAAATAATCTGTAGGTACTCTGTAGTAAATAAAGTTCGTAGGTATTCTGTAGGAAAATAAACCCGTAAGTAATATGTAGGTAATCCGTAGTAAAAGATTTTTGTAGGTATTCTGTAGGTAAATTTCCGACAGAACATTCCGTAGGAAAGCGGTAGGAAAGTTTGTAGGTGCTTCGTAGGAAAAAATTACCCATGGGGTTTTTACCTACAACCTGTTTTTTTGTAAGAATTCTGTAAGTAACGCCTTGCTCCTACAGATCTCCTACGAATACTGCTGTAGGTAATTACCTACTTTTCTAGTAGTGATATCCATGATGACCGGAGTCTCGTAGGAAAAACCATGTTCTTTAGAGACTCGCCGGAGAAGATGACCAGAATCTTGTTGGAGCTGCAAAGAACATCGAAAACAGGTTAAACCCATAGCAACTGGGCATGAGTGTAAGAGATGGACAAAAAAAACAAGTTTAATAGACAAATTTGGACAAAAAAAATTTAGTGAATAAATAAATGTTTAAAAAACGAAAAATATATCATCTTTTTGAGTAATTTTCATAAAATAAATGAGTCTTTGACTTTCTGTTGCAAATGGATTATCGTTATAGTGAAAATAAGACAATAGATGAGATGATCTCTTAACCTTTGAAATAATAAGTGGGTTTGTTGGTACTGAAAGTTTGAATTGAATTACTAAAAATGAATGGTGCACAATAACGACCTATCATTTGTGTGTACTGTGTAGCTTTCATTTTCCTCCAAAGTTTACTTTGAAAATTGAAGTCAAAGTAGCAAACCTTACTCGTGCTTCCTTTTAAATATAGTAAATTCCAGAAATGGTCCCTATAGTTGGTACAAGGTCACAGTTTTAGTCAAAGTTTCAAAATTTTCACAATTGTTTCTATTTCCATCAACTTTGCTGATTTTGAGTTTTTTGACTAACCCCTTTTGACTTTGCCGTTAAGTTTAATTTAAAAAGATATTTTTTGCCCGTTACAAATTTAGCTTTGATATTTGCATGTTTTTATTAGGGAATCAAGGTATAAGATAATGGGAATTGATTTAATAAGTAAGCCCAGATAGTGGTTGTATATGAAAACGAATCAGATATTATTCCGAAATTATGTTGAATAATTAAAGTATTTCTAAGTATGCTATAATTATAAATTATACGCGTATGTGGTTTGTTTTCTCAGGAAATTTAATTAGTATAGAACAAGATCGTACGGGTGAGAATTATTTGATCCGGAACCAGAAAACCTGAAAATCATATCGAACCGATATCGATTTCATACCAAACCATATTTAAATTCGGTTTTTGGTTTGGTCCGAGATCAAACCGAATTATGAATTGGGTTTTTGGTTTGAGTTTTGGTCTCATGAAGTTTAAACCAAACCGAATCGAAAAAACTGAATTTCATAAAGTAATTACTTAAAAAATATATTATATATATTTCATTGTTTGATTCATGATCCTAATTCTTATTGCGCATATGTCATTTCATTTTAGGATCATCAATATTTTATATATTAAATAAAAATATTAGTTATAAAGTAAAAATCATTATAGCTAGTACTAGGACCATTTTATTATTTTATGTATTAAACCTTGAATCTGTTCGTATGAAACTTTAGATCTTTATGTTTGCAACTTTAGGTTTTTATTTTAAACAATTCTAATTTATATTTGGAAAATTACGACATTAATTTTTTTTTTAAAGTTAATATTTGGTTTTCTCGGCTTTCAAACAGAACCAAATTGAATTAGAATTTGGTTTTCTGTTTGCTATAGAGAATTTGAATAGATTATGTTCGGTTTTCGAATTATAACAAAAAAATTTCAAACTGAGGAAACTAAAGAACCTATAAACCGAACTGATTCCCAACCCTACAAGATAGAGATAAAGTTGAAGAGTAAAAGATATATCTAGTTGTACTACATGTTTAATTTATTGAATGCTTTTATTTCACATGATGTTGAAGTTAACAATTAAACTGATTATTATCTACAACTCCATAGCTTATCTTCAAATACATTTTGTTCCCATTGAACTTATTATTCTCTAGAATGACATTTTGGCACTTGTTTGATAATAAATCGATAGATAGCTTTTCTTTAATTATAAATATTTTCTTTTTTCTGTTTTCTTTTTATGTATAGAACAACCGGATTTAAAATTTTTAGTTCGAGACATCTTTTTTATAAAAAAAAAATCAATGTTAGTAACTTATATGTACATATTATATCAATCAAATTTAAAAATTTACTTACTTGTTTGTATTATTTGTTCAATTACATACGCTCACCTTTCAAATTATTTCTATTGTAATTGCCAATCGACCTTGAACAATTGAACGGAAATTGCAGGAGTTTATATGATTGTGATTTATCTCGACTCTTGTTGTCACAAATTTGAAACAATGACCGCGAAATACTGAAACTGTAATGCTAGTATTCTTTTTCATTGATGTATAATTCATTTGACCCTAAAGCCCAAATGTAATTTTAAAATTTGAGTTGGGATTTTCATATAAGTGACATGGGCATTTAATGTCTTTTTATTGGTATATAAATTCCAAGTATTATTAATAATATATGTAACAAACCTAACAAGCATGCAACTGTATTGTCATTAATGTATTATTATTTGTCTTCTAACTTTTTAATAAAGTAGTATTAAGGGAAAGATTTGGTCACACCACCTGCACTCCTATCAAATAGCATCATTGGTGCCTTCTAAAAACTAGGGACAGTTTGTTAACAAGGTTTAATTGTAGCTAAAAAAGGTTAGTAACTATAAATTTGTACTTTACATATGCAGCGTGGATATGGAAATATAGAAAATTTAAAGTAAGATGGAATATTGTTATTCATAATTATATTTTGACATAAAGATCTTGGGCAATTATATGCGTCATTATCAATGGAGTAATTTGCTTGGACCTGATAGGGAAAGCAAGGATGCCAAGTCCCACCACACAGAAATTTTGGCTTCGTATTTACATCTATTTGTTGTAAGGAATGTATGTCATTTGTCAAACATGTGGAATATAGGTGATTGATGATTTGATGAATCATTCCACTGTCAATGTGCGTATTTTGTTGAAGTTATTAGAAAGTTTCAATAATCTATCAATAACTTTCATGTTTGACCTCTTAGAACTTCACCTGAGGGCTTAAATGTCAGTAGTATAGAACCCAATTCTGGTGATATGTTTCTGCTTATGTTATAATACATGTTATCACTCTTTCTCTCTTTATCTATCTCACTGTCTAAATTTTGTACAAGTCATGTGCTTCACAGAAAGAAAAAGTTTAGTAAGGTTTCTGGTCCTGTATTTGTCTCTGGCCATAACTATCTCATCGGGAGCCACTACCATATCTGCAAACCAGTCTCTGTCTGGAGACTATACAATCATATCCAAAGGTGAACAATTCGAGCTCGGTTTCTTCAAAGCAGGCAACTCCTCCAAGTATTACATAGGCATCTGGTATAAAAAGCTCTATTCCAATCCTCCTACCATTGTTTGGGTAGCAAACAGAGAAACACCCATCTCTGATAGATTCCGTTCAGAATTAAAAATCGTTGATGGTAATTTGGTGCTCTTGAATGAGTCCAAGTCCCAGATTTGGTCCACAAATGTCTCCACCACCACCACTTTGAAGTCTGCAATAGCTGTTCTTCATGATGATGGTAACTTAGCTTTGAGTGACAGCTCAAATTCAGTTGAACCTATTTGGCAAAGTTTTGATCACCCAACACATACTTGGTTGCCTGGTGCTAAATTTGGTTATGACAATAGAGTGAAAAGGAGCCAGCTTCTAACGTCATGGAGAAGCAATGAAGATCCTGCTGTAGGGCTCTTTTCTTTGGAGTTCGACCCGAATAGTATAAATTATGTGAGCAAGTGGAATGGCTCCCAAGAATATTGGACAACTGGGCCTTGGAAGGAGCAAGTTTATAACTTCACACCTGAATTGATCAGGCTAAATTCCATTTATAATTTCAGCTACTATAGAAATGAGAATGGGAGTTACATCACTTATTCTCCCACCATGATAGCTAGATTTGTAATGGATGTTTCTGGTCAACTTCAGCAGCAATCATGGTTGGAAACTACCAAAGGGTGGAATACACTTTGGTCTCAACCTAGAATGCAGTGTGGGGTCTATGCTTTGTGCGGGGCTTTTGGTACTTGCAGGCAGACTGAACTCCATTTCTGTAGTTGCTTGATTGGCTTCAAGCCTAGATCCGAGAATGATTGGAATCAGGGTGATTTCTCTGGTGGGTGTGAGAGAAAAACCGATTTGCGATGTGGGGGAAACGTGGAAAAGTCTGATTTTCTAATGGTTACAGTCAGGAGCTTGCCTCCAAATAATTCTGTAGCAGTTGGGACTGCTGGAATATGCCGTACAACTTGTTTAAGCGATTGTTCCTGTAATGCTTACTCTTTTATCAATAATCAATGTTCAGTTTGGGATGGAGATCTCTTGAACCTATCAGAAGACAATGCTAGTGGGAACACAATCTATGTTAAAGTTGCTTCAAAAGAGATTCCACATCGTAAAAAGAATAATTTTGATACCGTGGGGGTTGTTGTCGGGTCGGTTGCAGGTGTTGTTTTTGTCTTAGGTCTAATTTTTCTTTTAATCTATAGAAGAAAGAGGATATTGGTTGGCAAGACAATAATGGAGGGATCATTGGTGGCGTTCGCCTATAAAGATTTAAAAATAGCCACCAAAAATTTCTCGGAAAAATTAGGAGGTGGTGGTTTTGGCTCCGTTTTTAAGGGGGTACTTCATGATTCGTCCATTGTGGCAGTGAAAAAGCTTGAAAGCATTAGCCAAGGAGAAAAGCAATTCAGGAGCGAAGTTAGCACAATGGGTATAATCCAACATGTTCATCTTGTACGCCTTCGTGGGTTTTGTGCAGAAGGTAACAACAAGTTATTGGTGTATGATTACATGGAAAAAGGTTCTCTAAATAGCCATCTTTTCCATGAAAAACAAGTTCTAAACTGGAAAACAAGGTACCAGATTGCGCTTGGAACTGCAAAGGCATTGGTTTATCTTCATGAGAAGTGCCTAGACTGTATAATTCACTGTGACATAAAGCCAGATAACATTCTTTTAGATGCTGATTTCCAACCAAAAATTGCTGATTTTGGGTTGGCAAAGCTTGTTGGTCGAGACTTTAGTAGGGTTTTGACAACCGCAAGGGGGTCAATAGGGTATCTCGCACCAGAATGGTTATCGGGGGTGGCTGTGACAGCCAAAGCAGATGTATATAGCTATGGAATGATGCTTTTTGAATTAGTTCATGGCAAGCGGAATGCAGAGCAATGCGAAGATTCAAGGAGTACTTTCTTCCCTGGTTTGGTTGCAAATGTTCTTATAGAGGGAGGTGATATCCTTAGCCTGCTAGATACAAGATTAAATAGGGAAGCTTGTACTGAAGAAGTGACAAAAATTTGCAAAGTTGCATGTTGGTGTATCCAATATGAGGAAGAGAGTAGGCCTGCCATGAGTCTGGTGGAACGAATTCTTGAAGGGGTTTCAGATGTGAGCATGCCTCCGATTCCCCAAATTGCGGCTTTATTTGTTGAGGACATGGGGGATGACGCGTTCTTCACCGATTCACCTTCAAGCGGGTGCAGACTAGTCCATAGCAAATTTCACCGGTGGTGAATCCTCATCAAACATATTATCTTCTTGAAGGTAATTCCCTTTATCTTCTTTGTTATTTTCACATTTGACATTGTGTCTTCATAAAAATAAACGAGTCATTGATAGTTCATGTAAGAAAGATCTTTAAGGTAAGTTTATCAAGAGTACATGTCTCTATACATACATTAATATTCTAATTCTATATTATATTCCTTCGTGTGGAATGAGTCTACTATATGTAATACTTGTGTATAGCATTAAACATAATTTGGAAGGATTTTTACTCTATTCAGAAGTTTTGTTGGTTTGAAAATGTTTTGGCATCCTTATGTGCTATCACTTATGATGGGATTGAGACCGAAAGGCCTAGGCACCCAACTTTGACATGAGATATTCCTAAAACAGGTAAACGACATTCCTTTCATTAGTTGGACTAAAAGCAGTTGGAGATATTCCTAAAGCGGGTATGAGATAATCATTTCATGGGTTAGCCTAAAAGTGAGATTGAGATATTCCTAATCACAGGTGTAAGATATTCCTTCTTATCAGATGCATTTGTGTGCTAACTATCCATCATGACTAGTGTGATGGTTCAACTAGATCAAAGTTTAATTATACGAGAAATTATTGAGTAGAATGCTTTGTGCTTTCTATTCAAAAGCTTGGATGTTGATTATGATTTAGAGTTTGGACTATAAGGATTGACAGGAGATTAGGAAATAGAAGTATTTGTATTGCATGTTTATTTCATAGGATTATTCCCTTGTTATGTTTTGAGTTATTATTACTTGTCAATTTTTACTTATCATTGTTTAACATATTGGATATTATTTGGAGTTTGACTTTGGATTGTTGTATTATTATACCCATTTGACTTTGAATGATAGGATTATTAATTATACCGCTTGAACACAAGCCTTGGCTTTCTATTCGTCATTACTTCAATAAATCATTTGCTTCCAATTTGTTAGTAGAGAACATTTTTTGAATGAGTCAGAGCCAATGTCGAAAACAAAGCGTGTAGAATCACTGAGCGTGCATAACAACGTCTGAATGAAATTATGTCAGTAACGAATGTTAGTATACAACTTCACATTTCAAATCAAAGAAAAATTAGTTAGAATTAGGAAGATAAAAAGCTTAAATCCTTCCCAACCCATTTAAAATTCTCAAAAATGATTTTTCATCGAGTTGTTTTGTAAAAATATAAGCCAATTGGTGTGTTTCTTTAACAAAATGAACTTCAATACTGTCATCCTCAACATGATCTTTGATGAAATGGTGTCGAAGTGCAATATGTTTTGTTTGGATTGTTGAACTAGATTATGGCATATGCGAATTGCACTTTGAGAATCACAATATAATGGAATTTTCTTCATGTTAATCGCATAGTCACATAATTGACTTTTGATCCAGATCACTTGAGAAGCACATGCCACAACATCAATATATTCAGCATCAACTATGGAAATCGATACACATGTCTGCTTTTTCGACTGCCAAAACCAAAGAGTTGACATCCTCCGGCAGTACTCTTGCGATCCAATTGACAACCTCCAAGATCAACATCATAAAATGCGAATAAAGAATCGTGTGTTTGATGCATACCGCATTCCAAAAGTCGGAGTTTGATGGAGATAATGAAAAATATTCTAAACGGTTGTGAGATGAGGTAACCTAGCATTCGCTTGGTACTTGGCACAATTTGTAACACTACCAAAAATCACAACAATTTTAAACTTTTCAAAGCCAATCATTCAAAACCATTGTTTTCAAAATGTTTATTCAATATCAGAGTATCCCAAAATCATAAAAACCCATAAACAAGAGGATGTGCACGGTCACGCCTTCACCTTTCCACAATCATTCAATGTACCAGAAACAATAAACTAACACTGGAAGCCAAATATTAGTGAGTTCCCCCAAAATACCACCACATAAACATAACAAATAACAACATGTGTTGGGTCCACAACTAATGATCTGGATTATCCCTGATCCCACAGTATGAGTCTGGATTACCCTCAGGCACACATATGATATTTGGCTTGCTCCCGAGCCTACAACATAAGTCAGGCTTGCCCTAGGGAACACAACTTATGTCTGGCTTGTTTAAGTGTCCTCAGTACGAGTTTGGCATATCTACCGACCCTTAATTCATATCTGGAATGCTCTTGAGCCCTCAGTATGAGTCTGGAATGCCAACGACCCTCAGCTATCTAGAATGCTCCTGGGATTGTTGGTTACAACACAAAGCAATACAACTTCAACCGAACATAATATGTCGACATACGAACAAATAACTTAATACAAAATCAACAAAATAAAGATAATCATTCAAATATACTACTCAGCCAAATATCAATATATCAATATCCTATAACCAAGATACATAAACTAATGGGCCGGCATTGGTGCCTTCGACCCTGGATATATCTCATAACCGAACACTAGCTGATGAGGTCCTAACTCCAAATCTCAGCTCAAACCGACACCTAATCATCAAAATGACTAATTCTTAGACATAATCTAAAATACCCAAAATACCCTTGAGTCGAACTTCGTCAAAATCAAGGTCTAACCGGTCAAAATCCATAAATCAACTGAGTCAACCCAACCGAGTCAACCCATCCAAGTCACCCAGCTAAGTCAACTCATCAAGCGTACGCGAGGCCTACTCTAGAGGTTCGTTGGATGTACTCCTCGATTGACCATATCCAGGCTGATGACCGTTTACGCTGGGCATACTCCTAGGTACGCTCGGTGTAACCGTATTTTTCTTCTTTTTCCCATTAAGTGCTTAATATAATGAATTTACATGTCCAAATGCAGATCCAAGGTCAAAATGTCATTAGGAATCAGAAAGTTTCCAATGTTATGACCTTGCATGCTCAATAAGTGTTTGATCCATAAAAAGCAATATCTTAATGCCTTAAGACTCTCAATAACATGCATGGGACAAAACTAGCCATTAGGACTCGATATTTATGACTTAAATCGTCTACCAAGGTCTGAAAATACAACTTAATGAATCAATAACATGTCATGCTCAAGATCTAACATTTTGGGACCAAAAAGCATCATTAAGACATCCAATCTAGATCTATATGATAGGGGGATAAAGTTGCAAGATTTTACCTTCAAAAGGTTGCAAATGATGTAGAAAATCTCCGATCCAAATTTCTTCACTCCTCCAAGATGAGATCTATTTCCTTCCTTCTTCTTCAAAGCACAAAACACACTCTTAAGCTTAGAATTGCTTCATAAGATGAATTAGGGTTGCAAAAACATTCTAAAGGGATGGAGGCTGATGAGGTGAGGGGAAATGAGGCTATAATGGGGTTTATATACAAGCCAAAACCTAAAAAAATTAGGGTTTCTTAATCTAGCAAGTACGCCCCGTGTACGAGATGTACGCCTAACGTACTCCCCCAAGGTTGAATTTACGAAAATGTCATTAGGTTCCTTTTTGCACCCTTTCTTGAACTTAGGGACAAAAAATGCAATATAATTAAATTTATATGGTTAAAACTAGAAGTACCTCGTCACCGGGATGTTATAATTCTCCTCCACTTGAAATAAACTTTTTCCTTGAAGTCGGCCATCACGAATAACTCTGGATAATGATCCCGCATCTCAGCCTCCGGCTCCTAGGTCCACTCGAAGCCTCTCTGATGATGCATTAAACCTTTACCAAAGGTATGTCCTTGTTGTGTAGAACCTTCATATTTCTCTCTGCAATTGCTATTCGCCTCTCAACATAATTTAGGCACTCATCGACTTAAATATCGTCTAAGGGGATAACTGCCTCATCATCCAATACACACTTTCGCAACTTCGAAACATGGAACATGCTGTGAATCTAACTGAGTTCCTCATGTAGATCCAACCTGTAAACTGCCTTTCTAACCCGGGAAATCACCTAAAAAGTCCAATATGCTAGGGACCCAACTTCCCCTATTCCTAAAGCGTATCACACCCTTCCAAGGTGAGACCTTTAAAAGTACCATGTCACCAACCTGAAACTCCAACTCAGATCAATGCTTGTTACCGTAACTCTTCTGTCGACTTTGAGTGGTCTGCAATCTCTTTCTAATCTGTGAGGAGCTGTAAGATCACGTCTTTGCCTTCCCATAATCATCTGAGGTACCTGAAAGCAAAACTGAAACTGTAAGTCCGAAGCTTAGTGAGTTCCCCCAAAATACCCATACACACAACAATATACATATAATAACAAACAACATACTATGGGTCCAATCAACCATCGGTTTGGAATACCCCAAGCCCTCAACCATTAGGTTGGAATGCCAACATATATCGGTCCAATCATCCTTGGGATGGAATTCCCCAAGCTCACAACCATCAGGTTGGCATGCCCACATACTACGAGTCTAATCATCCTCGAGATGGAATACTCACGACCCACAACCATTGGGTTGGAATGCTTAGGTCTATTGGCTTTCACACAAAGCAGATATGCCTCAACCACCAATCAAACAAGTGCATATATAACAGATAATCACATAACAGTCTATAGATAGACAAACTGATCTAACTAGTCATAGAAACATAATAACATCCTGTCTACTAGGATACTGATCTAACAGATCACAATAGCATATCTACCAGGATAATGATCTAACAGATCATACTAGCATAACATATCAGGATAACAATCCAAAAGGGCCAGATTTGGTGTCTTCGACCCTTGAGTAAAGTGAGGAAAACTCAGCTCATAAATGTCGAATTGAAGTGATAATCTCAAACTCTTGAATCACAACCACTGAATCGACCACCTATATTCTCCATAAGCCCACTTCCATAAATTTTCAATTTACTAAAATACCCCCATAATTCAAACTGGTCAATCCTTGGTGAAAGTCAAGGTCAACGGTTAAGGTCAATAATCCATGTTGACCCAACTCGTCGAGTACAGCTAACTGCCTCGTCGAGTCCTTCTAGAACTCGAGAAGTCGTGAAACCCCTAGTTGACTCATCGAGTCCATGCATGTTCACAAGTC